GCCATAGACAGAAAATAAGAAACGTCGCAAGTTGCGGCCATCCATGCGCGAGTAACACGCGATCCGATCCGAAGTTTGAAATCTTCATTTTCTTTTTTACACAACGAAAACATGGAGATTGTGTCATAGAAATTAAAGGGCTAGTGCGATGCGTTGCAATGTGAATGAGTGCTTGCAGTAATAATATTCGCTAAGGATGATCGAGAGGAGTTCAAAATACAACCGTTCTGGTTATCTAGGATAAGATCCCTTGAAAGATGGTAAAGTAGTATTTCAGGAAACAGTTGCTGTCTCTGCATGAATCATGTTTCTCGCCACAGTAACGTACGCCTTACTTGAGTATTCTACGTTTTATGTTCTTCCATAGGCTACTGTGGCTGCCGAACACTTCGAACGGTAGAGAAGCGATATGCAAGATTTTTGTCTCGTTCTCGAATTCTCTTCCATTTTCATAGCCAGAATTTCCCCAATTCATGCAATCTCTTAAAACTCGCTCTGACCCATTCAATGCTCTACTTCACTTCAAAACTAATGCCTCCATCATCACATCACCATCGATAGTTTATCACGTAATTGACATGATTTTCATCCACCATCGCCATCACATCCAATGGTATCAAACCATCGTTCATAATCCATCAATATGAGAAACACTAGTAACAGCCAAACCCTAATATGGTTTCTGTAAATCGGTCGATGGCTAGCTGGGACGTCCGGAAAACCATTCATTTCTTGACAATACTGAAAAAAACTCGTTTATGTGTGTGTCCATGGGGGAAGTACGTTCCCAGCAAAATGCAATCAATTCATATCTATAAAGAACAACATATGCTATTAGCCAGATCACCGTTTTTAGTCGCAGACTTGGAATAATTACGTCTGTCTGAAAAATCAAAAAATTTCTTCTCTATGCTAGGTAGAGACCCATGAGAAGCACAATCTTCTGAAGTTTCCCTTGATGAAAGTGAGCTTTTATGTTCTCTTTATAAAAAAGTTATGATTGATACGACGTGTCTGATCATCACCTTGAGCTTTTCACTAACCAGAACATCTCTAGTTTCCGATGTTTTCTGTTATTGCAGACTTTGAGCGCTTGTATTTTAGAGCACCAGTTAGTACATTGCCGAAAGGACAGTTTCCGCCCAAATGTAGATTTGCCTCTACCACCTTCCTCAATGTTTCTTAATGGCTTCCTCAGCGATGCACGCGTGTTTCGGCTATAACGGGCTGGAGTCAATTGGGATTCGAACAGAACAAGCCTCCTTTTCTCCATCGCTGCCTCTGTAAAGCAATTTATCCTCAGAATGGGTAGATTTGTCCTGCGTTTAATCCTCATCATTTGTCGAGGTCAACATTGCTGTCGTCCTACTACCATCGCTCTTGGATCAGTCGTCGATCCCGTACGATAGCACTTTACCTGACAAATGGGAGGCACAGAACGATGTTATGGAAAGTGTTACTCATTTGTCTGTCGAAATACACCATTGAAAGCACTGGACAACTATGACTAGATTTAGCTGTTATTGGAGTTGATAGAGCCGAGGTATTCAAATTGGATGCCTTCCTCGACCGCATCCCTCTTCACCCCACTAGTAGAAGAGCCGTGTTAGATGGGCTCCTTAGATTTTGGAACGTTGAGACAGAGATCTACCTTCGCAGTTGTGTTGTCCAAGAAAATC